TGCGAATGACAATTTAAATATGTTTGCGCTATAAATTCCATGGTGGAACGGTGTGTTGAATTATATTTATGTACTCTACATACCAATGTACATATATGTATGTGTTTCTTAAAGTAGAAAAATTATATCAGCTTTAAATTCTTTATTGAGGCACACTGATTGTCCTCAACTAGGACTCTTTTGATAGCACCAAAACAAGACCTCACTGTGAGAAATTATCGTAAAAAACTAAGTTTTCTGGTGTTGAATTCGTAGAAAAAAGAATCTTGCCCTCACAATCAGTTAAACAATTCTGGTACTGGGTATATTACTCGTTTTTCAATAATGATACTTTCCATTAAGGCTTGATCTGGGCCTGAAGTTTGAATCAATTAACTTGCCACCTGCTTATAAAATCAAATTCAACTTGAATTAAGGGCATTATTTATTTAAAAATTATATTAAAAAATAGATACCAGGAGGCTTAAACAAGTTGTGGGTTGAAAATATTTGTAAAAGAGTTGCCACCTATTTGAAAAGTCAAATTTAAATAAATTATTCGCAAGGTATCTGATAAATTAAAATATGCATGTCAAATCAAAGATTGTTAAGAAACCTTAAGATTGCGCATTTAAATATTATTGATGTGTTTTACAAGGGATGCCACCAGTTTTAAAATTAAATTCAATTAAAGTAAATGAATTACTACAATATGGATTTCGAGGAAATGTTTCTAAAGAGTTATAGTTCTAACCTACATTTAGGAGGGTTGCCACCTGTTTGAAAAATGCATGCTAGTGGATTAAGGGATTTAGGTATTTGTAATATGTATAAAACTATGGGTATCAGACGAAAATGGTTTTATAAAATTTTAGTTAGAAAGTATTTTAATAGCGTTGCCACCTATTTTAAAAGTCGAATTTGAATTAATTTTAATCAAGTTAAGGTGTCAAACGTAAGAGTGTTTAGAAACTTTCCGCTTAAACATGTAGAATTCGAGGTATTTGAAGAGGGTTGCGACCTGTTTTAAAACTAAATTCAAATGCAATTATATTATAAGTAATTAAAATATAGCTAATAATCGAAAGAGTCTTGAAAATACTTTATTTCTGAGCTAAATATGTATAGCAAGGTTTCCACGTGTTTGTGGAAATTCAATTTCAAATTGAATTATAGGAATTAGGTAATTTGAATACATACACTGGCAATCTAAATTGAGTGCATGGTGTTTTTTGTTTAAAATTTATAATGTTTTTCAAGTTAAAATTTTTTTGTTATTTTTTTTATAAAAATATGGTTCACGCTTTAATTAAAACATAAGTCAAACTTTCAAACTTTGTACAGAACTTGGCAACATTCAACGAATTTTCGTCTAAATCTTGACCTATTTTATTTGAATTTTTAGAAACATTTTGAGTACGCAGCTAGATCGGTGAATAACTCAGTGAGAGGGGAGACCAGTATGTTTGCATGTATGTATATAAAAAAATATTTATTGGACCAAAAAGTAGTGGGTAGGCACTGTGGCCAA